CCCGTTAGATGTATCCTAATGGGAAATTTTGGTTGTGAGACAAAAGTTCCTGAGGTTAAAGAGTAGTAGCAGAAATTTCAGACCTTGGAGCATGAGTCTGTGCTTTCAGTTTTGCTCTATCTCTTTGCCATGTCCAAATTCAGAAAAGGACACCCTGAGAAGAGCAGCGTCTTCTGATCTGAAAAAGCCATCTTATTCCTTTAAGCAAGAGATTGCCCTGCAGAAATGAGCTCCATCCTCTAAAACCCTTCTGTGGCATTGCCATTTTTTTTTGACACGCTGCTTCTGAGATCACCCAAACACGCATTTTAGAGCACCCCTGCCTCTGCCTCTTGGGAGACTTCCTTGTACAAGGCAAGGCTTAACTTTTCTCCTGTAAAAAACCTGTGATGTTAGTCTATAGCGATACAAATATAGATAGGAATCAGCTTGTGCGTAGGTACAGATATAAAGAAAATGGTAATTTCTGTATGTAAATTGTATCATCAGGTATAACATCAGGCTTTCCAGCCTACATAAAATCAATGTTTCTGAAAGTGGGCTGTGTCCCCTGATAGACAAGGGTTTCCTTGAAAATAACCATCCAGCTTTTATTCAAAGCCTTATTTTCTGGAATTATCTCCATTGCTCTGTTCTGTAGAAAGGTTTTGACCACACTATCAGAAAGAAAAGCTAAAATCTTGCTGGCTGTTTTTGTAAACAGATAACGCTCTACTATTTGTTTTACACAAGGGCGAAATAAGCACCCATATAAAGCAGTCACAGGGATATGCTCTCTGATCTTGTCTGGAAAGGCTAGGATGTTTCCCTGTGGCCATGTTCAGGTTTTGAAGTAAAACATGCAGTGAGCTAAATCATCCTCTGGGGTTTAAGTAGAGACATGGCTTACTGCACCAAGAATAAAAATGTAAGGTTTCCTTAAGTTCAAGAACTGTGTGTATGAACAAGTCCAGAGGTATGCTTGAGCAATCACAAAGAGCTAAGTCCATTCTTTTATTTGAAAAGATGGAAACTTTCTAAGGAACTGAGAGAGCAAAAGGTGTGCCCTTGGCATCTTAACTCTTGTTATCTAATTTCAGTACTACCACTACTACAAAAAATGGATCTAGTCATTTGAGTCTACATACAGAGAAGTCACCCTCCTCTGTTCACATTTATGCTATGTGCTATGTATCTCATCCTTATTGAAACGGACTTCTGTTTGTGGAAGCAAAGGTCTTCAGCTTTTTCTTGTAAAATAGATATTATTTGTTCCTTTACAAACCAGGGAGCTACTGTGCTGGGCACGGTATAACCAAACGCTCATATTTTCAGGGTGGGATTTACAAAAGTGCTCTGATTTGGCTTGATTGCACCAAGTGTTCTTGATGGTAAAACCTCACACTTGAATGGGGTACTGTTAGACCAATGTCAAGCACTTCTAAATATTGCTGTCTGCTGGTTTTCTGTCCTCAGTACATTAATAGATGTAAAATAAGACTCTGTACTGGAAAAGAGAGATTTTTCTGGGTCCATGCTACTTGAAAGGAAGGGAAGGATTTATTTACAATTGTCCTTGTCTACCTAGGTGCATGGAAATGTGTTAGAGGTCTTTCCTGGTTGTCTAGCCCCATCTATGTGTACAGGAATATTAATATTTCCTCGTCCCGTTGCTTTTCTTTCCCATGCAGGAAAGAAAAGAAGAGCAATTCTTTAACTATATACATCTATTGAAAGCCATTTCAGGAAGATCTAATTAGATTTGGGGTTTAGGGGTTAATAACAGGAAGGAAGGACTTACACTGAAGGACTCCTGAGATCATGATAATAGATTACATGCCTGCTCCCAAAGGAGACCGATCCCTGCAGAGATACAGCATCTTTTCAAAATGCACTGTACAGCCACAATGAACCTACCAATGCTGTTTCTTTCTTTTGTTAAAAAAGGAGAAGAAGTAGTCATAGTTAGGCACCAGGAGCTGAGTAAGCGATACTTTTTCCCCAGAATGAGAATTATGCATTTCACCAAGAAGCAAACATGAGGAATACAAACATACTGGAAAAAATCCGTTACTGTATATCCATTAAAATAAGGCAAGATTACTTGAGCTAAAATCACTTTCACTCTTCCGGCTTTTCTCTTTCCTGAAAATCTAGCTTTTCAAAATCATAAAATAAACTCTGAAAAATATGAAGCATTTAATATTACTTTATATTCATAATTGACGTTAGCACATCCCCCAGAGGCTTGTAAGGGCATACCATTTGGATGTGTACAGGCAGACCCAGCCGGCTCAGGAACTATAAATGAATTGCTGCAGAACACAGCCCAGGGTAACACGCTGCATCAAGGGGACACTAATATGGCTGCACAGTTTCTGCACCACTCCTTGCTTTTATTCACTCATCTTGCAATGCCGATAGAGACGTCTAATACCTGTGCAGACATGCCCTAACAGGATGTCTGCTGGGCAACGTGCTATGCAAACACACATCTCCCAAGGAACTAAAAAGCCAATGTGAAGTGTAATACAAAAAAGGAGCGAAATCTTACAGAATCAAGTTTATATCCATTTACTAGTATAAACATTGCTAATTGATACAAATAGAGAGGCTCACTATCGCTAAGTGGCTGTCCTAGAGTAATCTTTTATAAGGGGAACATTGTGAAGTTGCTTAATTTACATCCTGTAGTAAATAGAAATAGCCTCTTGCTACCTAGGTCAAACAGTTCAGTCTGTATTCAAAATAACTACATCCTCATACTGTTTCTGTGACGAGCATTTTGAAAACAATACAGGCCTGAGAACATACACATTTTAGTGCCGAGAGGTCAGCCCCTCTTTAGTGTTGGTGTCTTCAGAAGTGTCTGGGCATGAGGCTCTCTGCAGTAGCAGGTGAGGCTGTGGGTCCACAGAGCTAAACAGCGGATGGCCCCACTCTAGAGGTAGCAGTATTTGTCGTGGACAAACTCTGCTCTGATCGCATGAAATGCAATCTCACTAGTGCTAGGAGAGCGTTAGTTCATGCTTCTGGAGTTTGTTTTCCAGTCTGGCTCCATCCAAACACATTGCCGCTTGTGTACCCCAAGACTGCTCCATGATGCAAGCCAAAGTGTGGGAACTGGGGGCAATCAGGAGATTCACTTCAAAAATAATACACTCTTGATGTGAGCTAAAATACTACCTACGCATACCCCCCGAGAAGCTTTTTGCACAACACCTAGTGGGAACTGCAGCACTGCCACTACTGAACAAACCATATATGCACGCTATGTGCCCTGTAGCTCCAAAAGAACACGCTATAGGTTTGTGTGCTTCAAATTTTCACTTCATACTGGATTTGTCACTGACATGCTTCTGTGCCAAACATTTTATTTGGCATCTAGCTGTCTTTGGTAGTTCAACAAACCCCAGTTGTGCCAATAACAAAACAAAAACACTGTCAAGTGACATTTCAAAACACAACTTTTAATAGAAGCACGGATAGATCTTTATAGGAGAGCAAACAACATCAGCATCATCCTAACAGCTGGTCCTGCTGAGGAAGATGTGCGACTGTAAAGTGTGGACATTGACAAAAGTGAGGGAAGGAGCAGTCAAAGGAAGTGTGAAAAATTACACACTGACTATGATGAAGTTTGATAAGGAAACTAGCAAAGGAAAAAGCAAATATACTGTCAGGAGGGTCAGGAAGGTTTTGCTGTACACAACAAAAAAGTATAGCTGGCATAAAGCAGGGATGGGCTGCAGGCACAAGAAAAGGATCCTCAGGAGACTGGAGGCTAATTTGGTAGATAAGATTTAGATTTAGTTCAGGTTTGCTGTTACAATGGGAACTAGCAATAATAAACTGTAATTTCTTAGAAATTTCTGTCCAATCTGGTAGGAGGTAAATGAATGCCAAGGAGAAAGAAGACACTTTTTTATTTTTATTTTCGATTCCATGAGTTAATTGTAAGACTACCTAGTAGAAGAATAATGAGTCAGAGACTAGACTCTGAATCTGAAATAACGTTTTAGGGTGGAAGGCACATGGATGGAAAAACAAAAGTTTGTGCGAGGTGTCAGTCATTCAGGTTTGGAGAGATGTGCAGGAGTTGTTTGGTGTACAGGCAAAGTTGTTATGGGGAAAATATGAGGTGAGAAACTTCAGACAGAAATACATAACTACCTGTGCTTCAGGAACATGCAAATACAGTTCCCAAAAGAAACTGTCTACACAGAGAGCAACAAAATCCTCTTTAATAATAAGCAAATAAATGAATAAACAAACAAACAGACAGATAAAATATTTAGCCAGCCTATGGAGATCATCCTCCTTGCCTCCTCTAATTAGGTAAAATTTCAGTGTAGTGCAGAAGAGCCATTTAAATGCTCATTCACCACTGAAATCACAGTTTGTTAAACAACTTCCATCCGAAGCACACAGAGGAGGGCTCCTAGGTTAAGTGGGGGCTCAAGCCAGTCTTACCAAAGAAGAAAAAAAGGAAAATAAATGAAGGGCTTCAGGATTGCCTGAGCAGTGCAGAGCAGAAACAGGCAACACTTAACAGAAATACTAAGTAGTTCATAACTGTCTCCCAGCAATTCTTCTGAGACTCCTGGCTGGCTGACTTGGGAGGTGAAGCATCTCTCTGCATCTCCCAAGCTACACTGGCCCTGGGTTTCCTAAAACACCATGACCCCTATGAACCTCGTGCTGGATTGCTCAGCAACAGTTGGGCTGTTTTAAGTATGTTGAATGTTGGTTGCATTTTTAAAAATTGAGTGTGATAAGTTCAGTCATTTTTCAAAGGAAAGACCTATGGAGTGGAGAGGAGAATTAGCTCATGCCACAGTGTCGTGTGCAAATATGGTGATTTGGTGACTGTTCCCCACCAATAGGACTGGCATAAGGAAGAAGTGGATCGCAAAATAGACTCTGCTGGTGTTCTACTATTAGCTGTCTATTTTTAAAAAGTTCCCCTAGGAACCATAAATGACTATTTGAGCCTGTTTTATATGGGGTGAGGGTAGGATATGGCGATTTCCCTGAAAAATGGCAGCGAAGGTGAGTCAGTAACTGACATGTTGCCAGATGCCTCAGTGCTAGAGTCTGTTATAAAAATTCACCCTACTGGGTGGATTTTTTCTTTTCTTGTGTGCTTGCAGTTTAACATAAATCTACTGTACTTCTAACTTTTTAAACAATTTTTTCAGAATACAAATACTCTGCCATGGAAGCATTTTTGTCTGATCTTTATAAAAACAGTCTGTTACATGTTTTATTTACATAGGAATAAATGGTATCTTTGACAGTGAGGTTTTTCATGATATCCATTTCATCTGCTATCTCTGATACCTCATATTTTTGATCCTTGAATCAAAGGGAATTGAAGGATAAAGTACAGTTTTATCCAATGGGGATAGCCCTTATCCGATGAGGCATTTTCTTAGAGACTGGATCAGCCTCAAGAGCTGAGCTGGTCACAAAGGAAGTTTATGGGAAAAAAGCCAATTTGACAGGATTCATTTGTCAAGATCAATGGTGTGGAACTCTGATGGAAAAGTAGTAACTGCATATTGTCCATGGGGACTTGTAGTAATTTTTTTTCCCTGCTCTCATAAGAAATATGATGAGTGCCACCAGTACCTGTCCAGCCTGAGAGTAGCAAATACAGCTTAATTCTCCAAAGAGAAAGATTTTATCTACGCATTTATTTATTTATCATCTATTTGACTTAGTAGCTCGAACATTGGAAAACGACTTCAAATTGTGTTTCATGCTTATTTCCACTCTGGCTTTTTCTGAACAGATGTGATATTCAAGCAGAAATTGATCTGTGTGCTCTTTGTTGTGTTTGATTTTTTGGTTACATTTTGTACACCGCTACACAGAAGTGGCGTTTTAAAAATGGATGAAACTCCTTCTCAGATACATAGCAAGTTTGACCACTTTAGTCCATGCAAACCTCACAATGGACTCAGCAGGGAAAAAACTGCCATGGCACAAGACTCTTGTCTGTTTTGGGTGAGCTGAACTTCATAGAAAAGAGAGTCTGATAAAATTACTGATTTCTGGGTGTGTCCAAATTTGGCAAGGCCAAATCTTGAGTGAAAGCAGCTGAACTGGCCATAACAGACCTGCCAACATCCTCAGCCAATCAGTGGCTGAGTCTCTTCTGCCAGCCCTATTTGTGCTCTTTCTGGAGAGGATGTCTCTGATGCATAAGAGGAGGAGTGATTCCCTTAAAATTGTTATCTAAGCAGAAGCCATAGTGTAATCTTATGGATTACTGCAATAACACTCTTGAGATAGATACATAGTATTTATAATACCTGTTGAATGCTTGTAGCATACTCACACACATGGTAATGCAGGACAAGGACTTTTTTTTTCTTTTTGGAACAGAGAATAATGCATTTTGTGGTTATGTTTGAAGCTGCCAACATCTGCTGCTGTGGGAGATGAAATTTTCTCTCACATTTGGTATCTAAAGGCCCTTGGCATCATGATGAGATTTCTAAGGGATGCATGAGATCCAAAGTCTGCTCCAAAGAATGATTTTGCTTGGGGTTACAGGGTTGCATCCTGCTTTTGTCTGCAGATGTCCAGCTTATCCATAGATAGATTCTGCCACAATGTTTGTTTTCCTTTGTGTGACTCTCATATTTCAGATTATGACAGCTTCAGACTTCCCTTAATGGGCAGCAAACACAAGTAAAATAGTCTACAAAGTTGTGTTTATATGCAAATAGGACATGGGAAAAAAATCAGCACTGGGTGAAAAAAAATGGTCATCTCCTTGTAGAGAACTGCTCTGAAGGACTCAAACCAAATTCTTAGTGAAATACTGTAATACCCTATTGCATAACTCCCTAGCTACACCAGAGCCACCTCAGGAGTAGCATACTCCATGTTTTTCTTGTCTCTTCACTCCTAAGCACTACTTACTATATTTTATATATGAAATGTTATTCAAACTACTTTTATCTTCAGCTTATATACCATTCTGATTTTGTCTCAAAGAATTGTATACTAAATTTGACCATATTTTCCTAATCTTGGCTTTTTCTCAGGCAGAGTTTCTGTAAAACTGGCAGCTTACTTAACTAGCAGTGAGGGTAATGGCATTGTTGACATATTCATTTTCCATGGGGACAAGAAGTAGATTTTTAGGATTACTTAATTACACTCACTTGCCTGTTATACCATGCTTTCTCATCACTGTAGCACTGCCCTCTGTATTAGAATTAGATGTGTTGCTTAGAGAAAGAATTTAATATCCTTTTCCCAGCTTCACTTCTGTATTTTCCTCCTCTTTGCTTTTTTTACTTCCACCTTGCCTATCATGACAGTTTCATTATACTGGCTCTTCTTTGCTATGGTATCTATTTGCTCATTTTTCCTTCTCCCCCACCCCCAATTTTGCCTCATCTCATATAATCCTACTGCTCTCCCCTTCTCCATACTACATTTCCATTTCTGCTTGTTCAGTCTGTTGGCTTCAAAGTGCCTTCTAATAAAGCTCTGATCTCTGAGCTAGGTGCTTGAGATAATAAATTTCCTTTACCTGCCAAAATGGTTGATGCAGAGCAGAGGGGCGTAGATGAGAAAACCACACTTAGCTTTCAGTCTGCAGGGCCTCCTGCCCTGCACAGCCACCTCTGCAGAGCTCGGATTTTTACTCCCCATTGTGCAAATGACTCCAAAACTACAAGGCAGAGGAGAATTGAGCTGCAAGAGGGAGTACTCCACCACCATCCTTTGCTGAAGCATAAAGGCAAGCCTTAGCAGGCTGACGTCCCTCTCATTCTTGAGCAAAGCATCTTGCAAAGATAGTTTCTGCAATTCAGCAGTTGTTAGTATGGGGCTGGTGAACAAATGGAAAAAAGCTTAAATGCAGAATATAATTATCTAGATGAATATCTAACTCAAAAAGAAGCCCTTCTGAGAAGTTAGACTTCTCTTCGATAACAGTTTGCATGCTTGCAAAAACATGTGAAAACTAGTATATAAAAGTACTTGAAGATACATAAAACAGCTTTCAATTTTATTCCCAGAGATGTAATATTATTAATTCAGGGGAAATTTGAATAACAACATGGCTAAGAAATAATTAAAGAGTCAATCTGCAGTGTAAAGTTCCCTGTTTGTTCTGTCTTTCTTTCTACATTGGACAAGCTTGTTTCAAAATGGGCTCTTCCACCTGTTCCTGACTTTCTTTTTGGGCCCCAGTTCAGGAAAGTGTACTCGCTCCTATAAGGTTGCAATTAAGTGCCATTAATAACAATGCCACATAAGTGCTTTCTGGTACCAGGGAATTCACACAAGATTTTATGCAAGAACCTCACCTAGCCAAAGCTTAACCGTGCAGTCCAGCCTCGATCCACTTTTATGGAGGAGCTCCCCTTCATCACTTTCCTTAACGTTGGCAAGCCGAGCTCCTGGTACCCACTGGCCCACAGAGGCCTTACTGGTGCAGTGAGGTGCGTACCGCTGCGTGGCCCACCCCATACATCCAAAGGGACTGCTTGGCTGTGCAGTGCTGCCTTCTCCATAGGAGGTACACTCTGAAATGTGGAGGGGACAGTGTATTTCCTGCTCAGCAAAACCAAGATATCTGCATGTTGACCATATGGTGTATGCGCCTGATATGCCTTTTTTTGGATCAAAATAACCATATCCCTGTGGAGAGCTGGGTTTTGATTACACTGCTGCTCCTCAGTGGAAAAATATTCTGCGGAAAGCCTTTGACCAGCTCTATCAGCAAGGCTGGAATGAAAATTTAATCCTCTTGGCAGGCTTCATTCGTCATTTCATTGTGTCATCTTAACACCACCACTGCCTTTGTTTTAAGTGATGACTGCCACAAAACACACTGATAGAATTAACATTTTTTTTAACTGTTCCTTACCTTATTATCCTCTAGTATTTTGCCATGACTGCTGCTTTATGGAGATGGAATATTCACACCTGTTAACTTTAGGCACCAGCATTTGGTGCTGAGGCTAGGAACCTAGCAAGCACGTTGCCAATGGAGAGATTTCTCCAGCAGGTCATTCAGTGTGATCCACTCAGGTATCCAGCTCTTTCCATTGACTGAACTGGACCACTAATTTAAACACCTTAATTAAGATGCCTAAAATTTGATTGTATGAATTCTCTGCTTGCTTGATGCTATCATATTTCTGCATCTATCAGTTCAGCTTGCACTGATCTGTGGTTTTGGCATCTACAGGTAGAAATATGAAATCCCAGGGATCCTACTTGATAAATTTTTGAGGGAAAATGAAAATAGTGACCACAAGATTATTTTTCATGAATGTACTTCTTATCTGATTTTATTCCGTTTTCTAAGGAACATGAAAAAATGAATGAGTCAGAAATTCAATCTCTTCCTTATATTCTTATCACAGGCATCTCAATGTGATGCAGTTTTCCTCTCTTGTATTTACTAAAAAAAGTGGCAAACTGAAATGTACAAGTGTCGGATCTGTCCATTCTGTTGACCCCAAAAATACAAATTTAACCTAAAATATGCATTATTTTCTGTAGTGTCAAGCTAAGGAATATTTTTGTGTTAATAAATTCATAATTTTACATCTAACTAAAAAACAAAACAAAAACTAGTTTCCAAATTATCAGAATTAATTAAAATGTAATTATGTGTGAACTACCCTGAATTGATATTTCTGATGATCTGAGCTAATCCTGAGCTACTTCCAACGTGAATGGAATTGAAATGTAAAAGTCAGAACTCTAGAAAGCTGATTACTTGGGGAATTTTGAGTAGATGGAAACACCGAAATGATTAAACATTTCCCAGAGTGTCATAGGCCTAACCAAAAGGCCATTGAAATCTTTGTACCTTATAACTCCAATATAGTTTTCTGAACACTTAAAAATGAAAATAATTTTTGTTCTGAAATTAAATGTGACTTTGTTAGGTGAAAAGTAACTACTTTGACATACTTCGGAAGGACTTGGGTATGAATCTACGCCATGGCTGTGGAATCATTACTATGTTTCCATTAAAAAGTCTCTGAGGGACAGGATTTAGTAATCAT